ACAGCTGCAGGGGCGGAAAAGGTGGGGGTGGTTGGCCTTGCATTCTCGGGCCCCACCTCCCACCCTGGCCTGGCCCCTGACCCTCCCACCGCCTGCCCACGCCCCTGCAGGCCACTGCACTCCAAGGCTGAACAGCACCTCATGTGCGAGGAGCACGAAGAGGAGAAGATAAACATCTACTGCCTGAGCTGTGAAGTGCCCACCTGCTCTCTCTGCAAGGTCTTTGGCGCCCACAAGGACTGTGAGGTGGCCCCACTGCCCACCATTTACAAACGCCAGAAGGTATCAAGCAGCAGAGGGAGCCGGCATGTGGGGGTGGAGGCATAAGACAGGGTCTCTAACTTCAGCCTCTTATTCCACTTGGTTTTAAAGGCAGGCAGACCAGGGCTAAAGTCCCAGCTCTATGGGTGACCTGGGGTGAGCCACTTGGCCTCTCTGGCCATCACTTTCCCCACTTGTAAACTGGGCATGAAAATGCCTACTTCCGAGAGTTGTTTTAGGATAAAGTAAGACAATGGATTCGATCAGAGACTTCATATGGTGGACTAGGTGTTCTCAAGGCCCTCTGTCCATCATACAGCTACATTCTACATAAAATGTAATTTAAACATTATACTGGCCGGCACTGAGGAAGTAACGGAAATTTCCAAGTGGGGGTGAAGGTGGAGAGAGGAGGTGGGGAGTGAACTGAGAACAGAATACTGAATAGTGAGCACAGAGGGCAAGTGCTGCCAGCATTACTGAGCTAGAAAGGTGAGACTATGCCTTCAAACCCCTAAAAGGTGGGGGACCTGCAATGAAGACCCCCAAGAATAACGGGTTAAAATGGAATTGAAGGAACTAAAGTGATCAGTTTTGCTGCAAACTCAGGAGAAGGAAAAAAGAAAAAAAAAACCCAAACCTTAGTTTAAACCCTTGGGTTTTCCTTAGATTAAGAACAAGAGATTAGCTCACAATTGAAGATCCACAGAGAAATGTACCCCATTACTGAAGTCAAAAGAAACAGAAATTATAGATTTAGACCTCCAAGAAATTCGGATATTGAAATTATTAAAGAATAGAAAGTCACTGTGTATAAAATGCTCTAAAATATGGAATTAATAAAATAAGCAATACTAGACTATCAAAAATTCAGATTTGACAAAGACTCAAATAGAACTTTTAGAAAAGGCAATGCAATTGTTGACATAAAACATTCAAAGGATAAATTAAACGAGACGTTTCTCGGAAGAGGAAATTAGTGAACAGGAAGAGTGGACTGGAAAAAAAAAAACAGCCTAGAAAGCTGCCCTGGGAGATGAGAAGGTCTAACGTAGGTCTAATAAGAGCCACACAACGAGAAAATAAAGAGAGTATGTGGGGGAGCTCTGCCTGAAGAGCCCTCCATCTGCCACGGATGAGAATAAGTCTACCAAGACATGGTCTGCTTGTAGAGGAAAGGTAGTGATCTCTCAAAGGAGAAGGACCAGGAACCTGTTCCTCAATGAGCTTTTATTGGGTTCAGTTTGCACAGGAATACGGGTAAAGCTCATCAATCATTGTCAGGTGGTCAGGATCAAACAATAGATAACCTATAAAGAACTGCCAAGGCCCTGGCTGGTAGAGCTCAGTGGATTGAGCATGGGCCTGTGAATCAAAGGGTCACCAGTTCAATTCCCAGTCAGGGCACAGCCTAGGTTGCAGACCAGGACCCCAGTAGGGGACACATGAGAAGCAACCACACATTGATGTTTCTCTCCCACTCTTTCTCATTCCCTTCCCCTCTCTCTAAAAATAAATACATAAATAAAATAATAAAAAAGAAAGAACTACCAGAGCTTATTCTGAGTCAGGGTCAGTTAGCTAAGGGGCTATAAGACTTGGGAAATGAACTCATTTCCTGCTCGAACCCTTATCAGAAAATTGAGGGCATTCTTAGCAAAGCAAGTTTCACAGGATTTTATGCATTCTTCCTTAGGCCTGATCACCTGGGAAACCTGCCCTTTCCAGCACAGGGCTGCACCACCCTCTGTCATTGTTTTAGGCTTAAATCTGGCAGGGGAAGTAAGGCAGCCAAGAGACTTCTTGCAGACGGAATGAGGACTCAGGCTATGTCAAAGCCAAGGGGGGACAGTCCATCACCCCCTTTTTCCATAGCCCCCCAAGTCCTTTCTTTGAGGCCCATTCATGACCATGCCTGTCTCAGGTTGCTGCTCCCTTGAGGGAATCTTACCCGTCATTGGCTAACCAGACAGGCTTGGGGCCAAGAAGGGTGAAGTAAGGGGGCAGAGGCAGCACCCCTGCCAGGGAGATAAGATATGTCTCCTTAGCGGCTTATGGTCCCAAGGTCTCTCACTCAGCCTTAGCCATGGGGGTTCCAGTTTCTGAAGCCAGGCAGGGTGGTTCCCAACAAGAGTGCAAAAGAGGCAGTGCTATCCTACCAGACAACCATGAAGAATTTTTCAGAACTGATGGAAGGCACGAATCTACAGATAAAGTGTCTAGTCCAGTGCCTGGCACTTGGTGGCTATTTGGTGAATGTCTCTTTTGGTAGTAGAGGGCAAACTCTCTTGACCCACAGAATGTACTTCCACACTTCTTGGAGGGTCCCACGCCCTCTAGATCTCTGGTGATGCCCTGATGTTGGGGTGCAGGAGGCCTAGGCAGCCCTGGCTGCAGTGGGAGGGGCACACCTCCAGTCTAGGTCCCCCAGCCCTGAGTGCAGGCCTGTGTGTGTGGCAGAGTGAGCTCAGTGATGGCATCGCGATGCTGGTGGCGGGCAATGACCGTGTGCAGGCCGTGATCACGCAGATGGAGGAGGTGTGCCAGACCATCGAGGTAAGCCTGGGGTGAGAGGGAGGGAAATTTCCGGACTCTTAGAGGTGGCTCACAAGTAGTGGGATGGGCTCAGCCAGGCGTCTAGATTTGAGTCTCAGCTCTGCCCCTCACTAGCTCTGTGACTTTGGCCCAGTTACTTAACTTCTCTGTGCTTTGGTCTTGTTTGTTTTTAACTACATAAAATAGTGATAAGGAGAAAGATCCAGTGGCTACCTGACTGAATCTTTTTGAGAACTAAATGTGATTACTTAGTTCTAAATAAGCAAGTAAACACCAGGCCCAGAGACATAGATGGCACTCATGAGGCTGCTTTAAAATATTGTCGTTATTTGCTGAGAGTAGATCTTAAAAGTTCTCATCACATGAAAAAATAAAAAAAAGGTAACCGTGTGGGGACGATGTTAACTAGACATATGTGGTGGTCATTTCACAGATATACAAGTATCGAATCATTACCTTGTACACCTGACACTTATATGATGCTATATGTCCATTGCATCTTAAAAAATATTTTGTTACTGTTATTTCTGAGAAGATCTGGGAGTCGGCAGCCCTGGGCTGGAGTCCTGGCTCTGCCCCTAATTTGCGGGGTAACTGACTGGTCACTTTTCTTCTTGGCTGTCTGCAACTAGCACTAAGTGGGAGCGGGACAAGCTGCCGGTGCTCTCCCACCTGTGGGGACTCATCATCACTCCCCATCTTTCAGGACAACAGTCGGAGGCAGAAGCAGCTGCTAAACCAGAAGTTCGAGACCCTGTGCGCAGTGCTGGAGGAGCGGAAGGGTGAGCTGCTGCAGGCGCTGGCGCGCGAGCAGGAGCAGAAGCTGCAGCGCGTCAGGGGGCTCATCCGCCAGTACGGAGACCACCTGGAAGGCTCCTCTAAGCTCGTGGAGTCTGCCATCCAGTCCATGGAGGAGCCGCAGATGGCGCTGTATCTGCAAGTGAGTCCTGGGAGTTGGGTGGCAGGCTGCATAGTGGCTAGATTGGGGGGGGGGGGGGCTTGGCACCTAGAGACCTGGGCTCAAGGCTACTTTCTGGCACCTATTAGCCCCATGCCCTTGGACGAGTCAACCCCCCTCTGAGTCCATTTTCTCCTTAAGAATTGGGCTACGCCTGCCCCGGCCCCAGTCCTTCGCAGGACGGTGCTGGGCGTCGGAAATGGAACGTAGTCAGAGGCTGGCACAACGCTTACTCTCGGCCTCCTTTCTTCCCTACAGCAGGCCAAGGAGCTGATCAATAAGTGAGTAGGCGGGGCAGGGAGGGAGAGGAAGGGGCTGTGCGGCTTCACCACCGCGGGGTGAGGGGTGGGGACTGGGGGAGGGGTGCGGGCCATTTCCGGACGAGGCACTGCTGCCGCTGCAGGGTCGGGGCAATGTCAAAGGTGGAGCTGGCCGGGCGGCCAGAGCCCGGCTACGAGAGCATGGAGCAGTTCACCGTGAGCGTGGAGCACGTGGCGGAAATGCTGAGGACCATCGACTTCCAGCCGGGTGAGGGAGCCAGTGCCGCTGGCACTGGGTGTCCAGACCCTCTGGAGTGGGGACGGGGCGGAGGGAGGGACAGGTGAGACTCGATGGTCAGAGAAGCAGGGACACCACCTCACGGGGGTCTTCCTCCCGCCAGGCGCTTCCGGGGAGGAAGACGAGGACGAGGTGCTGTTTGACGGAGAAGAGGGCAGCGCGGGGCCGGAAGAAGAGCGGCTGGAGGGTGAGTGCGGCCCCAGGGGCACAGCTGGCCTGGCCGATGCGCCCCTGTCCCTTCCTCCGGTCATTGCCTTCCTCGCCTGACCAGGGCTCGCTTGTAGCTCCCAAGCCTCCCAACCCCCAGCAGGAGGGGAGCGACCCTAGCGCAGGTGCAAAAGGACACTTTCCTTTCCCACCAGCCATTCCTCTGGTGCTTTTGGAGACCAGGGTGGGTGGGAAGTAGAGGAGACACCCACGTGGCTGGGGAAAGCAGTGGCCTTGTTCCTTCGGACCCACTGCAGCTTTCCTTCCTGGCCGCAGGCCTGCACTGACCCTCCCCCTGTGGGGGGACCTGCGCTCCGCCCCGGAGGATCTGCGCCGAGACCACCGCGCCCCCCGTTCAGCGGGCGAAAGCTCAATAAAGGGTTGACGCACCCGGACCCGCACCCGACCCGCAGCGTCTTTCACTGCTGGCTCTCTCCGCCTCGGCTTCGGAGGCGACCCCATCCCCATCGCTCCCTTCTCTGGATCTGGGGCCAGTTGGGGGGCGGAAGTGGAATGAGCCCCCGTCGGGCGTCTCCTTACTATCAGGCACCGACCCCGAGCCCGGTGCCAAGGGCAAAGAGCAGGGGTGGCGTGGAGAGATCGGGACCTGAGTTGGTGGGGGACGTGGGGACGATGGGGACACAGGACCCTGGTTGAAAGCCGTCCGCCTGCAGCACCGACTCCCTCCCGCCGTCCCGGGAGGCTCACTTTCCCCGAGTTCCCGCCCCGCTGCGGAAAGTTCCCCGCGCCCCCACAACAGAGGCCAACGGCTCTTCAGCACTTTTATTAAAAACTAGTAACGCAGGGAGGGCTCAGGGGACTCCCGGGCCGCCCCGCCCCGCGGGACGGGGTCAGTTCCGGTCGGGCAGGTGCCAGCCCGGGGCGGGGGAGGGGGTCGAGGCTTCCGACGCCGCCGGTCACTTGCCCACCGAGTCGAACAAGATGCGGTTCTGCTCTGCGCGCTCCCTCTGGCTCTGAGTCCGCGCCAGCTCCAGCAGGGTCCGCAGCAGGTGGAAGGTGAGGTCAATGGACAGTGGAGGGTCGTCCCGTCGCGGCCGCTCGCCTGAGGTCCCGGATCCCCATCCGCCTGTCCCCGGGCGGCGGGGGAAGCGCTCAGCCAACAGCAAGAGAAGCGCGCGGGCTCCACCACCCCGGTTCCGAGCCCCGGGGCTCCAGCGCAGACTCGGGTCCTGGACCCTGGCCGCCGCTGCCTCCTCCGGGCTCCACTGGCTGCTCCCCGGGCGCAGCTGTGCCAGGAGCAGCAACGCGGCCAGCAGCGGCGCGCGTCCGGCCAGCCGCATGGTGCCACCGGCCCTGGACACACAGGGGGAGCGCAGGGTGAGGTGCGCTCGGAGCAGTCGCGGTCGGCGCCGGTCCCGTCCCGCGCACGTCCAGCGTCCCCGCCGGTCCCCTTCGGCTGCCGCCCGGTGCCCACAACCTTCCCTGCAGCCCCAGCCGCTACCCAGTCCTGTGCCGCCCTTTCCTCTCCCCTCCCCGCCCTCCCTCCCCTCCACGGTCCGGCGGGCGAGCGAGCGGAGTGCCGAGTCCTGGCGCTGCGGGGCCGGGCGGGCGCTCGGAGCCACTCACGGGTCGAGGGAAGGGCGTCTGCACAGCCCGGGACGGAGCTCCGGTCTGTCCCTCGGGGCGGGCTGAGGGCGCCTCAGGAAACACGGGGTCTGTCCCGGGACCGCCGCCAGCCTTATATAGCTCCAGCACGGCTCCGGCTGACGTCAGCGAGGAGCGGGCACGGACTGCGGAGCGATGACAGCCGCGGCTTCGAGTCCAGCGGGTTGCGGGACCCCGAGGGGCGCGGCTCTGGGGCTTGCGCTGGAAGCCACAGCGGACCCAAGTGAGCGAGGGGCAGGCTGGGGCGTCAGGATGGCTCTCGGGCGTGAGTCCGTCACTGCTCGGAACAGTCGGCAGGGACCGGGCGGCCCAGTCGGACGCCAGCCTTGTCTGGCACGGAACTGCCGCATGGCGGGGCTGTCCGTGGTGCTGACCCTGCCCCGTGCCTCCCGAGGGGCCTCGGCGCTGCCAGACTGTACCGCCGCCCAGACCCGGCCCGAGACGCCAGTCCCGTGAGCAGAGGCGGTCAGGACGGCACAGCTGGCACACAGCCGTCACCAGAACACCCACCCGAGGGGCGGCCGAGGCAGGCCGGGCCGGCCAGGGTTCTCGTCTTATTCCAGCCCCAGGGTCTAAATTCTAGGGCTGTCTGACTGGGGTACAAAAAAAGGGGGGGGGGGGGGGTTCTGACCTCAGAGTGCTTTCACACCACAAAAAACTGGTCCATCTGCTTCTGAGTTTGCATCAAAGTGAAAGTTTAGCCAAGGTAATTTTCTCCTGGGAATTACAGCCGCAGTATCACTGGACCTTTGACCTCTGGGTTAAGATCACTTGGTAGAAAGGAAACATGGTGTTCTGGTCCATTTGAGGTTCTGTAACAACAACAACAAAAAACCCAAACAAACAAAAACACCTCACAAACTGGGTGGCTTACAAACATTTATTTCTCAGAGTTCTGGAGGCCTGGAAGTCCAAGATCATAGTGCCAGCAGATTCGGGTTCTGGTGAAGACCTGCTTAATGGCTCGTAAATGGCACTTTCTTGCTGTGTCCTCACATGGCATCTTTTATGGTGGTACTGATCCCAGGAAGGCTCTGCCCTTGTGACCTAATCACCCCTGAAGGTCCCCCTCCTAATATTATCACCTTAAACCTTAGGTTTTCCACTATATGAATTTGAGGGTCATACAAAAGTTCAACCTACAGGACGTGGGTTGAAGTTTCTACTCTGCCACTAACCTGGGGAGGGGACAGGCCACCTCGCTTCTATGGACCCCAGTGTCCTCATCTGTAAGAGGAGATGGGGCTCATGGTCTCTAGGCTTCTTTCCGTCTCCACAGATTTTGACTCCCAGTATTTTTCTGTTGGGTCTTACTCGTTGCCCCTGCGGGTTCCAGATTACATTTTTATAACATAGTTATGGAGGTACCACATACAGAGCTTGAGGGCGTCCCCAAAGAACTGGACCTACCCTGGGGCTGGGGTTGGCCAGAGCAACCAATGCATCTGTGAAGAGTGGGGGTAAACAGCATTTGCCAGGACATGGGAATAAGCTGCAGTTGCCACGGTTATACGGCTCCACAAGTATTTACGGAATGGCTGCTGTGGGGTGGACACAAGACCATCACAGAAATGTCAGTGAGTTCAAAAGGAGTCAGTTTACACTTCAGAGTGAAATGGGTCGTTTCATAGGACTGATCCCATTCTGACCATCAACCAAACCCCGTGAAAACGGAGGTGCCCATTTTGAGGAGGTCATCTGGCCGTTCCAGAGTCAAGCTGCATTACTGTACGGCAGAAGCAGTGGTACGAGGCAAGCTTAGAGCCGATGTGCCTTCCAGGACAGGTAGGAGTTCCAGATGACAGCCACACACTGGACGACAGCCAGCCTAAGGGGCAGGAATGGCACTGTGAAGAGGATGGACGAGGAGAAAGCAAAGGGGGGAGTGTAACGGACAACAAAGGGTTATCTCTGAGAACACCCAGACGTAGGTCCCTTTCCTCTGGCCCCTGTGCAGGGACATTCGGCTCAGACCAGAGGACAGCCGGCTCGAGCCCTGGTGCTGCCGCCCCAGAGCTCTGCCTCCTGGGCACAAGCCTCAGAGTCAAATACCCTCAGCAGTCCTCTGGCCTTGCTCGGCTCATGCTCATGCCCCTGTCCAGGCTCCTTCTAAATACACGCATCGGCCCTCCTTGTACCAGCTGAGATCTCATCTTCAAAAATGTACTGTCTGCCATGGAAAGAAATACCTTCCTCTCTTTATTTTACCTTGCTTTAGTTTCAAAGACTGTTGCAAGAACCCTGTTTAAATATGGTTCCTCAGTCTATATTCCTTTTAGCTATGCTATTCATGTACATTATGACCATGTCCTTTATGAAGTTTCCTATTTTTCCCTGTTCCAAAGGCCCCTCACTTCCCATAATTTTAACTACTTACCTTGAGTTCTACTACATTTTTTACTGCAGTTTCATCAACCACCTTCATTATTAGGGCAAAATAATACAGTCATAACCTGGTACTCGTCAGCTTCAGAACTTGTCAAACCCTGTACTTGTCGCATTTTGACAAGAAAAAATGTCTCAGCACTCAGTGCTTGCTTGGGACTTGTCGCACTTGCTAGAACTTGTATGACTCACGACACCACCCGGCAAGAGAAAATCCTTCTTCCCTCATCACTTGCTTGGTACTTCCAGCTTTCAGCACTCAGGAGTTCCGGAACAAATGAGCGAGGGGCACCGAGGTTCCACGGTGCTTTGCAGCTGGCACACAGCCGTCAGCTGTGGACTAACCTGACCTGCATGGCTCTTTGGTCTACTTTTCTGTCTAGTCTAGGCTGTGGCGCCCTAGGCACTATGCCTGCAGCAAGAGGTGGGGGGCGAGGGGGGCTCAGGTGGGCCAGAGCCGATGGCTGTGGAGCAAGATGAAAGCGGGTCAGGGGCAGACGCTCTAGGACAGGGTCTGTAGAGAGTAAGAGGTTCTGAGCAGGGAGGGCAGAGTGTTCTGGGGGGTGTCCAAAGTAGCTCAAGGTAGAGTGAGAATCACTTCATCTACAACTGTTCGTAGGTGGTTCTCCCTTTAAGGGTGGGGCAGGGAACTGTCATACCTGTAATAAAGGGGAACCAGGTAGAAGTTGGCGAGCTGCACAGCAGGCCAGAGCTACAAAAGAGAGAAGGTAAATGTTGGGGGGCTGTCCCCATCGCCTAAGCCCAGACTCACTGCCTTGCCTGTCTTCTTCCAACCTTGTAAACAAACTCAAGTTGAACAACTGGGGGAGTGCTTCCCTGAGTGTGCAGCCCACACTGGGAGTGAGGGAGTAATCCCAACTCCCGGACTCCTATGTCGGGAGGACCCCTAATCCCTGGGTACTCTGGACTCAAGGAAGCAGAAAGCAGGCAGCGGAGGTGTCAGTGCTTACATAGTAGTTGGTGATGAGGGCATCAGGATAATCCTACGGAGACAGAGAAGGGACAAATGAACACTCACACTCCCAAGGAGCTCCCACCTCCTACCAACACATACAGATTTCTGTCGAAAGAACACAGTCCTGCGCCACACCTCCCTCAGCCCCTCTCCTCCAGAGCCTGGGACCCCACCGGCACACCCCCCTTCTCACCCCCGGGAAGCCTGCCTCACTCCCCTGGGCATTCCCCTGGGCAGCCCGAGATCTTCCCAAACCTGCCCAGCTCACCCGCTGGAGTTTGGCCCAGTTTTCCTGGGCTGACAGTCCATTGAGTGCCCCTACCATTGGGAGGAAACATCCTAGAAAACACGGGGCAAAGCCCCCCTAGGGAAGAGAAATTAAAGTGCCGTGAGCACCTCAGCCCCACTCTCCCCCAAGGCAGCTCTCCCTTCCCAGCTTCCTTTTCCTTCTGCTCACCTGATCCAACAGCATCTTCTTCAGAGCACCCACCTTGGTGGTGCCGGGGATGAGCCGGTCCAGAACCCTGTACCAGCCTCCTACCACAGGGCCCTGAAAGCAAACCCCAGGGAGGCGGGCAGAGATGCAGGAGGGGAGCAGGTGGGCTTTACATCAGAAAGCTCCTTCCCCAAGCATTAGACACCAAATCCAGGGCAAGCACGCCCTCAGGATGGCTTAGCTGTGTCAGAGGCCAAAGGAAGCAGACCACTGTCCAATCCGCCGGCAGCCCTGCTGCAGGCAGAACTCACCACAAAGCCACAGCCCAGGGAGACCATGGTTAGGGTCCGGCCAATCTGGTGTTTCCGCAGACCTCGCCTCTCCACCAGCTGCTGTGAGATAATGTCACCCAGGCCCATCAGGGACCCTATGCAGGATACAGGCTGTGGTCAGGACACCTCCCAGGAGGGGTTGCCACTCCGAGGAGGGAGAGGAGCCTGGTGACTGAATGGGGCTCTGGCACTCCAGGCCCAAGGGCTCGGTTCTGGGGCAAGTGGCCAGTCCCTTGCTGCTGCTTCAAAGATCCCCTCTCCCAAGGGCAGTGCCACCTCATGTGCGTCCTGATAGAAACTGGGACGAGCAGCTGTGAGCAGGCCAGGGCCCAAGAACTCTGCACTGGGCAATCAAGGGAAGTCAGAGTCCGAACCTGAAGCCAGAGGAAGGAGAATCAGAGGTGCCGGGGGCTGAGAACTTGGCCTGTCAGCACTGGGAAGGCCTTCCGGGTGACTCAGAGGTATGGAAATAATGGTCTTAGTTCAGAGGCATGGGAATAAAGGTCTGCAACCCCACATAACCAGTGAGTGAAGGCAAAAAGCCGGTGGTCTGATTTCCTAGGCAGTGTTCCTTCCAGGACACCACACCAGGGCAGGTCATGGTGCAGTGATCAGGAACCCTGTTCCCCCTGCCCCAGCCCGAGGCAACTCCCTGCTGGCCAGTGTCCTTCACCTTGGTCTCGAGGTCTCTAATTGTGGAGAACAGCAAGAATAACTCTTTTTCTAGAACACGAGTGTTCGAATGGTCCCAGTTAGGATGATGAGCTGGTAAGAGTCCCCACGGCGAGGAGCCAGGTAAACCCCTTCCCAGCTCACGACCTCCAGCTGAGCTGGCAATGGCTAGTAGAGCCACATCTCCCCCCAGCCTTTGCACCACTTCCCTGCCCCTCGCTTGCAGGCACCCAGCTCTAAGCAGCCCTTGTCAGACACCCACACCCAGAAACCAAGACCAAAATCGCCACTATTTACAGAGCCCTCATCAGTTACAGTGGCGTGATGATTTCTAGCAAATACATTCATATACAGGGCTGCTGGGGAGTGACCGTATGATCTCCGACTTGCCTGTCCATCTCACTGAGTAATGAGAGTCCCCCTCCAGCCCCGTAGCCACCACTGTCACTGTGCCCTCAATTAGCACTAGGCAAACACATCCTCCAACCCCTATCCTTGGCCCGGAGCTGGCTCTGACGTCCGTGCTGGCTGCACACTCACTGCTCTTCCCCCGCAGCTCTGCGCAGCCCTGCCCCTGGGCAGCTGCATCCGAGGCAGCCACGCAAGGCTGAGAGCTAGAGCTGGGGCTGGAGCTGGGACGCCCGTAGGTGACTTAGGCTGCTGGCCTCCCCCGTTGGCGTGGCCAGCGAGGGAGCAACGCTGGGGCCCCAGGCATGCCCATCAAGGTGGCCCTGCCTCTCCTCTCCCTGAAGCTGCTACAGTGGTGGAGGTTCTCCCCAGAGCACGGCTAGTCATGAACTCCCAGGGGACAAGGGCAGAATCCTAAACATCTTTGTTCTCTCATCCCCGGCCACACCTAACCAAGCTCCTGGCAAGTGCTCAGAAAATAAACCAAGGAAAAAAGTCAAATGTGCTGCCCCAAGTCACAGGACTACTCCGGGAAAGGGCATAAAGAACTCTGAGTCTAGTCCTAAGTCCAGCCCAGAGGCCTGCATGTCAGGCTCAAAGTATGACCAGTGGAACTGAAGACTTGCTCCCCCAGTGAACACTTAGCTCCCTGCCCCGCTCCCTGACAACGTGGGGTCACCAGCTACACTCCCGGGGGGTGGGGAACGGCTGTGGCCATGCGTCAAGGGGAGAGGGGCCCCGAGAAGTCCCAGGAGGGTAGGACAGAAAGGCAGATGTTTGTTAAATAAAAAGACTAACAGTATGACATTCTACTTTAGCAAGATGTTTAGAGTTTACCAAACAAAGGGCTCTCACAGCCCTGGCTGGTGTGGCTTGTTGGTTGGGCATTGTCCCCACAAAGCCAAAGGCTGCTGGTTCCCAGTCAAGGCACTTCCCAGGGCCTGGGTTGTGGGTTGAGCCCTGGGTCGGTGTGTGTATGAGAAGCAGCCAATAGACATTTCTCTTTACCTCTTTCTCCCTCCCTTCCCCTCTCTCTAAAAATAAAATCTTAAAAAAATATATTTTACTTATTTATTTTTAGAGAGAGGGGAAGAGAAAGAGAAAGAGTGGGAGAGAAACATCAATGTGTGGTTGCTTCTCATGTGTCCCCTAGTGGGGACCTGGCCTGCAACCCAGGCATGTGCCCTGACTGGGAACTGAACCAGCGACACTTTGCTTCACAGGCCTGTGCTCAATCCACTGAGCTATGCCAGCCAGGCAAAATAAAATCTTTTTTAAAAATAGGGCTCTCACACATTTAATCCTCATGAAAGGTCTGTGAGGTAGGGGTCACACCTCTATTCAACGTCTTTGAGAGAAGTGGCACTTTGTAAGGAGCAGAGCTTGGGCCTGAACCAGGCCTTCCCTCAAGGCGGAACAGGAGGCCAGGGGACTCCCCAAATAGGCTGAAACTTGGGCTTGGTGGCCAGAGGGCGCTAAGCGGCTCCTGTGGCTGCTACTCACAGGGGATTCCTGCCTAAACCAGGCCCCAAAGGCCTGTGTATCAGAGGCACTTCTCTTTTACTCCCCAAAATGTGAGATCATCTCTGTTCCTCGTCACTCGTGGGGAGTGCAGGCAGCAATATTCCTGGGAAAGAAACAGTCACAAAAAGAGGTGCACGTTTTCACTCTTCGTGCCTGCTAGCTACCACACAACAAGCTAAAGGCAGAACAGGAATGAAAACTGAAGTCCCAGCTGCTAGCCCCACTCTCCTGGAAACCCTAAGCCTTTGAGGAAGATAGGTTTCAGGCCCTCAACTACACACACACGTCAAGCCTGCAATACCGAGTGAAAGGGCACCAGCAGGAGGAGTCGGGTGGGTAGCTCTGCGGCCACGCCAGTTCTGTCCACTTCAGACAGAACAGGACCCAGAGGTTCCTCCTCTGCCCACAAATTATCAGGCCCCTGGGCCTCAGCAACTCTAGAGTGGCCTATGGCTTTGGTCCCAGCGTAGAGCAAGGCCTGCATTTCTGGTCCAAGTGATTGAGCAGGAAAGGCTGACACTCAGATTCTTTACTGTGTCTTCCACACCCCAGGTTCTGGGAGTCCTCCTAGGCATATTTGGTTGGTCTGGGTCTCCCAGTGCTCTGGCTCCCCTCCTTTCTTGGGACTATTTCCAGCAGTTGGGGATGGAAGCCTGCAGAGACAAACTGTCTGAGCCCTGATGGGGCGGGGTGAGGGGCTGCTGGGCAGCGATGCCCCAATGCCAGGCCGGGCACAGAGCCCAGCAGTAGACGCTGGCGGGGGCGTGACATCATACCCCTGGGTAGGTGCCAGTTCTCATGCCGTCACTCACCACCGGATTCAGCAAAGTGGGGGCGGGTTGGGTGAGAGCCTGCCTCTGAGCACAGATGTAATTAAGAACCGCCCCCCCAACTTCTACATCCGCTTCCTAGGCACAGGTGGGAGTAAGTTTCCTACTTCCCCTATTTTGTTCCTCTCCTGGCTTTTGTATGTGGAGTCTTAGATTCGAGAAGTGTTAATGGAAGAGAACAGGCTGAGGGGCAGAAAGCAGGAATGAAGGGCAGAAAGTGTGTCCTTGAGTACAGGAAACCTGCGCTGTCAGGTATAGCTACTGGCACTTGCTGTTGACTCATCCTCTCTAGAAGACTCCAACGATTTAATAGCTGCCTGGCATGGGGGCTTGGTCTGGCAGAGGCCAGGGGAAGCTGAGGCCCCACAGTAAGAGAATGCATCCTCTGGGACTGGTCCAAGTGTCCTCCCCATTCCTGACCTGGACATAGCCTGCCAAAAGGTGAGACAAAAAGGAGCGTTCTGTAGCTTGTCAGGCGCCTAAGCCCAGCCCAGCTGTGGCTACTCTCAGCATTCCGAGCCCCCAGTAGTGTCACATGCAGGGCAGTGCACTGGCAAGTGCCCTAGGTTCCAGTGCCAGCTCTACCACTGACGATGTGAGACCTCAGCGCATGTCATCCCCCTTGCCTCAGTGTCCTCTGTAATATCAGGCTGGATTGAATGAGCCCTTACGTCTTGGCTTAATTCAGACTCCAGGGAATCCAGTGGCTGCAGAAGCTCAGCGGCTCCCACAGCAGGACCAGGATGGCCTAAGAAGGATGGTGCTGGGCCCTGGGCCCACTGAAGACTAGACGGACCCTCAAGAAAAGATGGGAGAAGGCTGATTCAAATTCTGCCAAACACAGAGTCGACCTTCTCCAGGCTGCCCTGTTACTGATTCAGGCTTGGCCCCAACGAAGTGCACCAGACACTTCTTTTGAATCATCTCAGATCTTCTTGATTCACTTATCTCTTACTCCAGCCACTAACAGATTCTTGCCTCTGGTCTTTGCCACACCTGGGGCCGCCCCACTGTCACTTTACTAGGAGGCTATGTGTGTGCAATCTCATAGCACGTGGGCGTCAACACCCCACATGGCAAACCTTTGGCTAGTGTGGGAGGGCAGAAAACACTCTTCACCTGTGTAGTCCTAAGAGGCATTTCAAAGAGCTTCTCTGTCAGTTCTAAGGGACTGAGCAGGCAGGTTCCCTAAGCAATGTCCACTGTACTAATGTATATTTATATTACCTCTCTGCCTCCCATGGAAGTCCTTCCTCCCTTCTGAAATACCCAGAAGCTTCAGGCTCTGCTTTTTTGAAGAACCAAAGCTAAGACAGTTGGCCACATTCAGATTATTTTTTATTGATTGATTTTGAGAGAGAAGAGACACATCTATTTGTTGTTGTTTCATTTACTTATGCATTCATTGGTTGATTACTGCATGTGCCATGACTGGGGATCAAACCTGCAGCCTTGGCATCTTGGGACAATCCTCTAACCAACTGAGCTACCCAGCCAGGGCTCCCATTCAGATTTATGGTAAGTGAAACAAACACCTTTATAAAAAGAATAGCTTGCTGTGCCTGGTTTGCCAATACTAATAGAACACTCCAGGCCAACCCCTGGAGCCTAACATTTTTAAATCTCTAAAGCTTTTTCTCAGAGATAATCCCTACACTGACTCTGTGAGGTCATATAACTAAACTCAAGTTCTACGGGAGGACACCGAGGCTCAGGGGTTTACTGACTTGTTCATGTGGCTACTATTGATACGGCTCTGAGATTCAAATCTTGGTCTTCTAATTTCAAGTCTGAAATCTCTGTTCTCTTTACCAGTGTGGTGATCTACCCTATTACCTTTAGGATCTACTGTGCTGGGATCTAAAAACAGCTCAGTGAGCAATGTCCACCTCCTCCCTTTATTTTTAGTTTGATCCAAATACACTGAGCATTGGGGAAGACAAGGTCTGAAAGGTTCGGAAAACTCTGAGAAAAGTGCTTCCTAGAGGTTGCTTCATGGCCGAGCTGAGCTGTAGGCACAGACTCAGGAAGCCTGTGAGTGCGGAGCCACGGGGCCCTGGCACTGAGAGACAAGCGCCTGGGTTCAGCTGCGTATCTGCACTTGGGCCCCCTGGAGCTCCAACCCCTGCACTCATCAAGTGCAGGTGCCTTGAGTAGGGAAACACAAGGACAATCCTTCCCCCCCTAGTCTTGGTGGCCACGAGGGGGAAGCTTCCTCCTGGCAGTGAGGAGCCCTGAGGGAATCTGAGGCTGGGCAAAGGGCCCAGCGTGTCAGTTCCCATCACAGCCACACAGTCCAGCATGAGTCACCACACACGTAGCCAGGTGAGTCATGCAGGCTGACGGACAATCAGAGGACAGAACATAGGGTGGCTGGGCACAGGAGATTGGAGAAGGGCCCAGGAAGGGGGGAAGGAGTCCACCTTTTGGCCAGTCACCCAACAAGCATTCCAGTGCTGATTCGGGATTTTTCCAGTAACAGGATTGTGGTCCCACCCTGGCTTTCAGTATGCCCACCCTCCTGACAGTCTTCCTCTCAGAAAGCCCATGGTCCTCATGAAAACCCAGTTCCCTTTCTCTAAATACAGGTAAGACCCTCTGGCAACCGGACCATTCTTGAACAGGCCCAGTAGTCACACTCCTTACAATCCTCCCTCCACAAAACTAACTTGTCTCTGTGCCATCCTTTCTCACATCGGCTAACCTACAAAATGAAAATGGTAACAAATGCAGGTAAGTCACTGGGTTACCTTTGTGAGGCTGCTACTCAAGCACTGGATTTGGAGTAAAAATAAACCTTTGATTAATACAGTGTTTGGGGAGACATACATAGACCGTAAAACCATAAGAAAAGCAAAAGAATGATATAAACAAAACTCAGGAAAATGGTTATCTCTTGAGGGTATGAATTAGGGACAGGTGCACAAGACATCTCAAAGTTGGGTACTCACACAGGAATATTCAGTTTTAATACTATTAAAACTGTACATATGTCTTTTTGTAAAGATTTTTCTTTATTTTTAGATAGCAGGGAAGGGAGGGAGAGAAACAAAGATGTAAGAAACCGATTGGTTGCCTCTCTCAGGCACCCTGACTGGAGACCAAACCCGCAACCCAGGCATGTGCCCTGACCAGGAATAGAACAGGCGATGACCTTGCACTTTGCGGGCCAGCGCCCAACCAAATGAGCCACACTGGTCAAGGCATATGTCTTAATCATTCTTTTGTATGTTAGGCTGTATTTCACAATGAAAAATACTGAGAATAATAAAGTGGACTAAGAATCCTGATTCCAGCACTTAGTAGGTGTGTGATCTAACGAGGACTCAAGTAGTCCTAGCTCACAGATCTTTGTGGGACCCCTGTGAGACAACGTGTGTGAATGTGATTTGCATACTATGTTAGAAGAACTATTTGTTATGATTAGTTTTCTGAGGTAAGGCCTCCTAGGGCAATACCTTTACCCTGAAGGGATGCCAACTCAGCTTTTCGAGGACTTTCAGACCATCCTTTATAGCTAAGCCAATTACGCATATACCTTTCCTTAAGGGCACCCACCTTCCAAAACCGACTGAAGACAGCTTAGGGTGAGAGACAGCCAACTCTTCAAGGGGGATGAATAAAAGCAAAAAGTGAGGGAGGTGTGGTGGGGCAAGCGCCTGCCTTCTAAATTAGCCTACTCTGGTCCCACTCAGGTCCCGGAGGGTCACTCACCAGCTGTCAGGACCTGCACTTTCCACGGGTGAGCAGTCAGCGCCCGCTGGTATGCCCGCCAGAGTGCCATGCTTCCTGTCAAGCCAAGAGGAGAGGGGTTCACCCCCACTGCCCCTTCCCACAAGAGACCTTGGACTTTGCCTTGTGCCCACTCCCTGTCCCCCTCCCGCTTTCAGTACGTCCGTCCTCTAGGGCCTCAGGAGGGATGCTTCCTGGACAGCTTCCTGTCACAGGAGTCGCCAGAGACAATCGGGTAAAAGAAGACTGTGGGTGATTATGGAATCCTGGTGGCAGCCACCCGCCAACCCACCCCAAGCCCTGAAGCCGGGCCACCTAGGGGTTTTGGTCCCAAAGAGGCGCTGTCGCGAAGATGGGTTTGCTCTGGCAGATGCCAGATGCCAGATTCTGGTCAGATGCCAGATTCTGACTTAGTTGGAACCAGCCCACATTTTTCCTGAGTCCAAGTCCACACCAGGAATAGAACCCGTCACTCCTGGGCCTGGAATTATCACACGCGCTGCGGGAATCCATGTAGCGCGGAAATTTGAGCCACTCACAGCGGACCAGACAAACTCACCTGGGCGCAGGATCAGCCACTGGCACGTGACCTGAACGGACGGAAGGACTTCCGCTGTGAGCCCCGCCCCTTCCGCATAGCTGGTCAGAAGGCCTCCTCGGGTAGCCAGAACAGAAGTGGGAGTGGACTGATTCGTCACTAACACTCGTGGTGAGCGGCTCGGCTCTGGGGGAGTAACCGCTTTTCCAAGTTGATTAAGCCGGGCCTTGATTTGGGCCGCACCTGCCACTCTCCCCACTTTGGTCCGACCCTTGTCTCTTATCGCCCCCTTCCCCGCTGCTTCTCAACCTGGGTAGACCCTTGCAGTTCCCGCGCCCCGGAGCTGGCCAAGATCCTGCCTTCTCAGTCTCAAGAGTAGTCAGTTTGGAAACTAGAAGCCAGTTTAATGTGTGCAGGTTACTGAATTGTCTCTAGGTTCTTCACTAGCCTCAATGGCGGGCTCCTGAGTGGGAGGAACTGGTTCTTGCTCGTATCTGTCGTTCCCATAGCAACTGGCTCAATGAATCAGGAAATTTAGGTACTGGCTTCCTAACTAGCCAGCTGGGCAGCCTTGGTCACCACTAGACTTGAACTTAAGGCTCCTCCTCTGTGAAATAAGGGGGTTGGACTATATGTTTAACAAACCGGACTCCAGTTTTTACACATTTATGTTTGTGAGGGTGGGCATCACTATGGATTCCCTTTTCCCTCAACATATATATATTTATAGTGGATATAAATATATATATATAGCCACTTTTAAACAAAGAGGCCCACAACTAACAGTATTTGTAAGCAATAGATTAGGTAATTTCCTAATTACCCTTTCCACCTCTAACATCCTAAAACTTTGAATAGTGCAACAGCCTTGGCCGTGGATTTGTCAGCCTGGCAGTCTGTGTTTAACTCGATCCAGAGAACCCACGCTTCAGGACGCAGCTGTATCTGACTCTTTCAAACTGTCTACTTGGCTAACTCCACCCCCCACTTACTAAGTTCTTGTATGTGTAAGGCAGGGAGAATCTTGTCAGATTCTGGACAGAGGAAGGAAGCAAGAGAATACGATGTTACAAGCCTAGAACTAAAGGCCCAATGTGGAAGGTTGGAAAGTTGTGTTCTGAGGGTAGACTATCTAGGTTCTAATCCCAGCACCACTTTTTAGTTAATGACTTTATTCAGACCGCTTAACCGCTCAGAATCTTACCTTTATCAAGTAAAATGGGGCAATATACCTACCTTATGGGATTAACATACACAAAGTACCTGAAATAGATCACATGCTTAAGAAACACTTGTTTATCCTCTTCCTTCCCTCTTGGGACACAGGAGAGAATAATCTTACTGGAGAAATCTGGGAAGCTCCTTGGTGAAGGTGAAATTTGAGCAAGGACCTTGAATGATGAATAGGACTTAGGTGGAGATGTTAGAAAAGGAGACTCCTGGAGGAGGGAATAGTGTGAGAAAAGGTACAAAGGAAAAGTGCAGAAACTCATGAATAGTATAAAGAGGATATAGGGAGGGAAGAGTAGAAAGGGAGTAGCTTGGGAAGAAAGGGGTTTCTACTAGAGAAATAGCAAGGGCTGAAAGCATCTTCCTGATTTCCTTTTGGAGGTCAGGCTGGGGCTGACCCTCAGCAGCAAGAGCAGGGTTGCCAGCACCAACCTAAGGCCTCAATAGCATGGGCCCCCAGGTGCTCCCCCCTTTTAACCACTGAAAGTGGGACTTCATAATGCTGTGTCAAGGGACTGCTGTGTAGAATGAACAAAACTTCTGCAGTGAAAGGCACTTCCCCATCAGTCAGCTCAAAACCAGAACTGGCACAACCTGAGCTGGGACATGAGAGGATGGTGCAATACTTGGCTCCTTTGCACTGTGGGCTGTGGTCCCTCCGCTACTAATGGTCTGCGGTGCCTCCAGGTCCGTTTTCTCTTCTGTACAGGAAGGGAATTGATGCACTTGATTCCTTTCTTAAAGATTTTTCTGACAGATAGCTTTGGCCAATTACTCTAGAGTGGCAAAAGGCTTTGTTCCAGGTAAGAACTATACTAATCTCCACTCCCTTCAATAGCAGCTGGCTACATATTTTTCTGTAAGTTTTTGAGTTCATCTGACTACTTACCCCACCCCTCAGATTGCTCTACACATTCTGAAACTATGGTCTGCCTATTTCTCATTGCTGGGGTACGTCCTTGCTTAGGAAGCAGTGTCACGGTCATGATGAGTCTGCAGGATCCCACAGAATTTTAAGAAGATGAGCTATAATACAGCAGGTCCTCAAATAACATCATTTCATTCAACACTGTTTCATTATATTGATCTCATAAGATGCCATAGGAACTTAACTCGTTTGTATCAATTCACCTATGATAAACTGGTTTCATTATGTCATTTAAAGTCACAGAACCACCCTGACCGGTATGACTTAGTTGGTTGGGCATCGTCTCACAAAGAAGGTTTGATTCCTGGCCAGGGCATATGTCTGGGTTGCAGGTTCAGTCCACAGTCGGGGCATGTATGAAAGGCGATGATATTTCTCACCCTCTCCCCCTCCCTCCCCCTCTCTCTAAAAATAAAGTCTTTAAAAAAAATTACTGTACTTGGACTCTAAACACCTCCTAAATACAGGTTTGAAATAAAGTAGCTAAACATGTTTAATAAGTCAACAATGTGACATTATCATGAAGAATCAAAAATCATGACTTGTAAAAGAATGATTAAGGTTAACTGAAGATATTTAATCTAGAGAAGACTTGGGAAACACATGATAGCTATTTTAAATACTTAAAAGGGCAATCAAAGAGAAGAATGACTGTATTTCCAAATACCCATGGTAAAACTTACAGAGGGATACTCTCTGACTGGATATAAAGGAAGATATTTTAAAACCTGACTGTCTAGGAGTGTTCGAATAGGGTCAGATGACCAGCGATTAGGCATATTTCCTAAGTAGGACCAAGTAAGATCTGAGCCACTGTTCTACTGGTAGTGTGTTTGTGGTGTTCCTCAGTTAAAGTACTATAAGCAGCTTCAGTCCAATAAATTACTACCTCTTCCCCACACCCCCATGGGCTTACATGTTGGTTACTCTAAACAGAAAGCTGGGAGCCTTCATGTAGATACCCCTCTGGTTCTCCAAACATCCACTCACGTGTGGTCTCAAAAACACTCAGTACCTTTACTTAGCTTTACCCATTTCACAATATGCTCAATATGAGCAATTTGACTCTCAAGCCTAGGTCAGGCCTGAGTGTTTCTTGTGAGCCATAGTTTTAGGCTAAAAAGCCTTGAGAGTTTGTGGAGGGCAAGGCCCCCTTGCCCACAGGGGCTGCGATGACAGCAGAAGTCGATGGAAGGAGAGGTATCTAAGGAGCCCTGGGGAGGCAGGTCTAACGGTCCAGGCCTGGCAGCATCACTGTCCAAGAAGGCCCCAGTTCCCATGGTCTGTGAAAAGGGGTCGTTTGTTCTTGGCAGACTACATTCCAAGGGTCCTATGTAGACCACAACTAGGGACTGGGCAGGAGGAAATGGCTGGTTGGACAGAAGCCAGACCCTTCAGTAGGGGAGGATGGTTGGAACATAGCATGGAAGTGGGCTTGGCTTTCAAGCTGCATACGGTGGCCCAGTGGAGAGGTGAGTCCACGAATAAAATGGATCCGAACCAGCCCTGACTGCCCCCCAGATATGAGCCAGCCATAGGAGTCCAAGTTTGGGCTGAAACGCACCTGTGAAGAGAATAGAAAACAAAAGAGAGATGCTCATGGTTGGTGTTTAAGGGTGAGTCCTAGCTGAGAGAACAAGAAACACAGGCCACAATCTGCAAGGATAGGACCATGAGTGGGTGAGACAAGTAGGAATGAGAAGACAATGAACAAGGTAAGCTCTTAAAAATGAGCTTGCCAGAGCTATTTTCCCTCCTTAGCCTTTTTGGTTGACTTTTCTTTTTTAAAAAAGATTATTTATTTTTAGAGGGAGAAAAAGAGAGGGAGAGAACATCCATGCGTGGTTGCCTCTTGAGCGCCCCCTACTGGGGGGCCTGGCGAGCAATCTAGGCATGAGCCCTGACAGAATCTAACAGGTGACCTTTTGGTTTGCAGGCCAGCGCTCAATCCACTGAGCCACTCCAGTTGGCTCCTGGTTGCCTTTTCATCTCTCATTTTATTGACCACAGGCCCAGAGTTGGGAGAAAATGAGTGAAGGGTGGAGAAGATGAAAGGCAAGCTTCTTACCTTATGAACAGCCTCCAGTGGCAGCCTGTCCAGGCAGAGCCGAGAGTGTACTTCTCCTTCCTGCATACGCAGCATTGGTTCTCTATGGAGCAGACCGTGGAACGAACTCTGGGGAGGGGGCGTGTAACAGGAGAAATAGAGCAGCTTCTTAGTTTTGCATCTTTGTGCTGGAACACTTTAGGGTTTTCTTTTATGTAGGAACTAAAGTTTTCTACTTTTCCAATGCACACTTATTCCCCTGGCCCCAATTTACCAAATCTGTGTCTTGAAAGAGCAAATAGTGATGGTTGACCGTTTCAGCATAAGTTCGAGCCTTGGGAGGGTTGAGGGCCCCAGATGAAGCAGAAGAGTGGTCTTGACCTTCAGGACTATCCTGATACGGCATCAGATCTGCTTTATATATAGGCTAGAAATGAAACCATGAGATTGGGTTCTATAACACTGAATACAATATAAGGTAAAGTTAAAGGAGTTCATCATCACCAAGCCCTTTTTGTATGAAATGTTAAAGGGACTTACTTATCTAAGAAAAAGAAGATGATCAAAACTATGAACAGTAAAAAATGACAACAAACTCACAACTGAACCTTAAAAAAACAACAAAAACTAAGCAAACAGCTAGAACAGGAACAGAATCATAGAAATGGAGATCACATGGAAGGTTATCAGCATGAAGAATGGAGGAAAAGGTACAGAGAATAAGAAGCATAATTGGTAGGTACAAAATAGACAGGGGGAGGTTAAGAATAGTATAGGAAGTGGAGAAGCCAAAGAACTTATATGTGTGACCCATGGATATGAACTACGGGGGAATACTAGAGGGAGCGGTGGTGGAGGGGAATAAAGGGGAGAAAGAAAATGGGACAACTGTAATAGCATAATAAAAAAAAGTACTTAAAAAAAAGACTAAAGATAGAATAAAAGTAAGAGAGAAAATTGGTTTGGAGCAGGAGAGACTTAAAGATGAAGAAAGTAGTATGTTCAACATATGTTCAGACGCACTAGGGTAGGGAATATTATGTGACTCTGTACCAAGACTCCCAGGGATAATATTATGGCTGG